GGTGCCTTACTAGTCTGTGATGGACAATAATGTAAGAAGCAATTTAGGAACCTTTAGACTTTAACCTCAAACCCCATATAGTGAACCTTAAGAATGCCTAGCCTATAGATAGAGCCATCATTCTTCCCTTTTAGAATTAACTAGAAGCATAGAGTTCATTCCTCTTATTTTGTGTGATGTTTTAATTTACTTAGTTATTTATTTATTCCTTTTTTCCCTGGGCATACTAATCTTTTCTCTCATTCTTTTGCATTGGTTTATGCTCATGTCATAAAGTTTCATAATGAACATTTGCTTGAAAGATGATCTTCAACAAAAATTTTTCATGAACTCCACAGAACGACTAGTTTGTTCTTCATCTATATTAACACTTTGTAAGACAGCCAATGAAGTAAGAATCCAGTCAGAAAAGATTCAACTGAAGATGAGAGATTGTTTACCAATTGGATATGATTCTACATTGTCTCAAGAAACATCTATCCTCTTCAAACAAAATAATCTATTTGGTTGATATATGAAAGAAGATGAGTCTGTCAAGACAATAGCAGTTTTGCCAGAGACACGGGCATATAGCACACTTTCTAGCAGTAGTTGTCGATGATCAACTAATCAGAGCTACAGCATAATTTCAAGATCCTGCATACAAGTGTTTCATCTTCAATGAAGTTGATATGACACCAACGATCGAAGAATATTTGACTTTGTTAGGTTTGCACCTCAAGGCTCCTGATAAGATATATGTCAAAAAACACAAGTCAGGATTAAGTAAGGGTTTGGCTTAACTCATGGGAATAGACAAAGAAGTTGTGGATTCTCATACAAAGAAAAAACAAGAACAAGTTTGCCTACTTTGAAAGTTTTTTCATGAGTTTCTAGTGCAACATGCCAACGAAGAACGGGGGTTAAATGTATTTGCCTTAGCGATATACAAAATAATGATCTTCCCAAAGGTTTTGGGTTATATTGAGATAGTGGTGGTTGACTTATTTGAGAGTGTGAGCAATGGTTATAACCCTTCAATGGTAATATTAGCAAAGACTATCGAATCTTTGAGTTACTGTCATCGAAATGGAGGGCGCTTTATAGGTTGCATACAGTTATTATACTTATGGATGAAAAGCCATTTCGAATGGAGAAAAGGTGCTTTCTCAAAGCTTTATGTCCGTAATTGAGCCCCGATCAAGGAATTCTGTGAAAGTGGGTGGTCAGAATGAAATTCTAAAATGGAATGGATAACTTTCCTACAAAAATTGACCAGTATCGAAGTAAGGTGGTTGGCCCCATGGATGAATCGTGAGCCTATATTGTATCAATGTGGGGATAATATAGTGGTCCCACTTTTGGGTTTATGAGGAGCGTCAAATTATGCACCACTCCCAGTGATAAGGTAGTTTGGGGCAAAACAGTTTCATTCCTATGATGCATGGGCTTTATCAGTTAGATTTCTCTTATAGTGAGCCAAAAGAATTTCAGAGGATGAATGAAATGATTAAAGCATGGAAAAATCCCCGAAGAGTGAGTCCTAGATCGTTTACTGATAAAGTCACTCCAGGGTATTTGGTTTGGAGAGCAAAACAAAGACAAGAAATGGTATTCACTTATAAAAGCTTTCAACCACCAACAAGAGAAAAACTTGAAGAGACACCATTAGACTTAGAGCTTACGACAAAAGAATTTGAGTCTGAAAAGGGTAAGTTAAAGTAAAAAATCCAGAAGCTTCAAGAAGAAAA